CTAACCAATCAGAATGTACTAATATGATTGCCACTTGTGTAAGCCAATCATATCTGAGATGATCTCATTGTCCCTGAAACTCCCCTAGCTATGCTTAAAAGGATCCTGTGAGCTTCTCGCTGGGTCGTCACCATTTTGCCTTTCTGTAGGCTGGTTGGCCCCAGCACGCTGGAATAATAAATGCTCTTGTTGATTGTATACATGGATGGTGGTCTTTTGTAGGACTTCTCCAGGACCTCAACAACCTTGAGAATGTGAATTAAATGTGAATGTGATTTAAACAATTTCCCAGGCAGCTACAACATTCCTGTGCTTGAACAACCTGTGGTCCCTTTCTAAACCACCTCTAACTGGTATCTAAACAGCAGAGACCAAATTAGTAGATGGCAATGAGAAATTACGAAAACAGAACTTACAAAAGACCTCTGCTTCAATCCCAGCTCCTGCCACACGCTTTAGTCTTAAGCAAGTCAAATCTGTTGGGTCTGTGAGTCGTACAACTATTGAGGACAAGGCCACCAAAGTTAGATGAGCAGAGGCAACTTTATTCCATCACCGTGAGGTACCAGGACTTCTAACTAGTTAGGGCCACAGGCAAGTATCTGGCTCTGTGACTCCAAGAAGGGGCCATAAGGGACATAGGGAGCATGTGGACTTTTATAGCAAAAGTCCTTACACAGGATGGGGAGCACATTCCTGGGGTCGGATTTATAGCCTCTGGGGAGTGTACCCCCAGAGTCAGGATTTACAGCCTGGGATTGCAGGGTATTAGTTCAAGATGTTTACAGAGCCATTGGTCTATATCTGGGGAGAATGTAGGGCAAAGGGTCAGGTAGTTTGTTTAAAGCGGCTATCAGCCCCAATACTCTTAGAATATGCATATAGGCTATTTTTCATATTCTTACGTTCTTCAAAATCCCTTCTGTAAATGCTGGGGCAAGACTACCTACACCACAGACTTGCCAGGATAGGTCATATGGAAACACTTTGCCAATAAAAAGTAAGAAGCTTATCAGGACAGAGGAGCCTTTTCAAGGATATATCCTGTTGGACAACATGCCCTTTGTAATCACACACACACCTTTGTAATCACACACACACGCACACATATATAGTGAACTTGGAGCCAGAGCTTTGCCTTTCACATTTGCTCCTTCCAGAGAGGATGTTGTAAGGACACAGAATAGGTTTGATTGTTTGTTGGGTTTTTGTTGTTTTTTTATTGAGACTGTAGCCCAGGCTGGCTTTGAACTCACTATGTAGCCAAGATGACCTCAATCTTCTGATCCTGCCTCTATCTCCTTAGTGCTGGTATTATAGGTCTGTCATGGTGGTATTACAGCACCATGCCACATTTAATGATGTTAGAATCAAACCCAGAGCTTGGTGCATTCTAGCAAGCACTCTGCCAACTGACCATAGTCTATCTTTAATTCCCAGAGTAAGTGTTCTGTGGAGCAGTTTCATCCCGAGATTGAAACATTCCATCCTGCGGGGAAGCTCCTTAAGAAAGAAAGTAAACAACTCAAAATAGTTTCAGGAAGTCCCTGAAACTGACCAGATTCACTAGGCCCCTCCCTCCCAAAAGTGAACAATAAAGACACTCTCAAGCCATCCAAGCCACCTGAAAGAAGCAGAGATCGGCCAAGCTTCCTGGAGGGGGCTTCAGCCAGCTGAGCTACCTGGAAATAACACTCTCCAACCTGATGGACTGCCTGCCCGCTGTGCAGTGTGCTCCAAGTGTCCAGCTTTGGTAAGCTGTCGCTCATGCTGGCGTGGGCTTTGGTGATCCAGCTGGTTTTGAGTCATCTCTACCCCTGTAAGTAACCCCTTACTCATATTCCAGTAAGGAACCCCAATACAACTCACTGGTTTACCAAGTTGGAGTTTATTTTCGTGGTATCTGTACTTTGATTTGTCATGGGCTCCCTATCTGAGGTGAGTAGATGTGTATACATTCTGTCTCCCCAGGAAAAGTCTGTCACATCACAATAGGTTGATTCCCAACCATACACGTTCATTATTCAACTTTTCAGCTAAGTCCCTCCAGGCAGCACCAGGTTCTCCCCAGTGGGTCTTGAGAACTGGCATTTCTGACAAGTGCCCAGTTATGCTGATGTAAGGCCCCAGACCACACTCTGAGAACCACTGGTCCAAACTGATACTGCTAAAGAAATCCTCTGCTTCTCCCTCTTCTTTTTAGAATCCATACTTGTCCCTTCCTCAACTTGAGAAGTTTACACTCTCCCTGCTATTTAGACATTTACCTGTGTGGCCATCTCCCATCTATACAGACCTTCATCCATCTATCACATTTTACTAAAAAAATTCAGAATCCAAGTACTTTAGGCTGCAGAAACCAGCCTTCTACTTGGAAAGCACCCAGGGGGGCACCTGAGGCATGCCAGGCAGTGTCACTTCTCAACAGGATGGGATCAGACAATGGGCTCACACAACAGAGCTCTTGGAGGACAGCTCTTGGGAGCTGTTTCAGTGTCCTGTGCCCTGGCCAGAGCATCAAGGGCCCAGGCACTTATAGGCTCTGTACATACCAATGCATTGAATCCACTCTGTTTTGCAGGTGAGGGAACTGGTTGGCCCAAATTCAAAAGCCTCCGAGTATAAGAGCCGGCTCTGGATTTAGGTTATGTGACACTGTAATCCAGGGCTCCAGCTCTTCTCCTTTTCTCTAGACTTTTTTTTTTTTTTCAATCAGTTCATTTTGTTAGCATTCAGACCCACCCTTTGGGGGACCTGGCCAATAAGCAGGCAATACCTTGGCCCACCCAGGGTCCTGACAAGTAATCTTACCTAGCCAGTAGCCCATTTGCATACCACAGCACGCACAGAGACCTTTCATAAAAGGTGGGGCCCGACCCACCTTCTCCCTCTTCTTCTCTCTCTTCTTTTCTTCTCAGCCCCCACCTACTCTCTCTTTCTTTCCCTCTTTGTCTCTCTCTCCCCACAAGGCCACTCTGTACCCCCTTTCCCTCTCCCCCTCCCCCCTCACTAATAAAACCCTCCACTTGAGTACAGTCTGCATGGCACGTCTCTCCCTCACCAGCCATGGGGCCCCTTGACTCCAGCCCACCAAGGTCTCCCTCCCACTGTTTTAAAAATACAACACACTTAGTAACTTGAATTCCTCTTCTCCTTACCTTCTTCCTCCACACCCATTGTCTTCTCTGATTTTTTTTCCCCTCTTTGGGACTGGAGAGACGGCTCAGCAGTTACGATCACTGGCTGCTCTTCTAGAGGACCTGAGCTTGATTCCTAGCACCCACATGGTGGCTCACAACCACCTGGAATTCCAGGGGATCAAAAAAGCCCCTTTCTGTGGGCACAAGGCACATACATGGTGCACAGACATACATGCAGGCAATACCCATATACCTAAAATAAATATATTAATTAAATTGAAAGTTTTTAAATTCATTTTATGTGTGTGTGTTTGCCTGCATATATCTATGCACCGAGTGTGTGCTGTGTCCACGGAGGCCAGCAGTGGCGTTAGAGCCTCTGCCACTGGCTGTGAGCACTGTGTCCTTACCCATTATCTTGCTCAGACATATAAAACAGTTTCCCATATGGGACCCGGAATTTACCCTTTCAGCCTCCCATCGATCATTACCTTCTCTTCTTCCTTTTCAATTTCCTGAAATAGTCTCCAGGGCTTACCTTCCCCACCCCCCCTTCTTGTCTCAATAAACTGAAGTCTGATTTCCACCCTTGTGCTCTGTAAACTGTTCTGAGGGTGCAGTACACTCCCAACCACGAAAGCCTTTTCCTTATTGATGCTGCTCTGGGTGCCTTCTTACCCTGAGCTTCATTTGGCATCCTGGGCCTGGTGCTGCCCTCAGCACTCTACCAGTTAGTTCTTCCTGGCGCTCTCTACCCACTCAGAGAAATATGCCCCAAAGGACCACATGCTAAGTACTTGCTCCCTAGAGTGCCCCTAATGGAAGGCAGTGCAGCCTTCAGGAGACAGGGGCTAGCGGGAAGTCTTTAGGTAGCTGACAATACGTCCTTGAAGGAATTTGGGGTACCAGCCTCTTTTTTGTTTTCTGCTTTCTGGCTATGAGGGGAGAAGTAGTTTGCCACATTGCCCACCTTTGCCCTCCAGAATGGCCACCTAATGCCACAGTCGGCCTGGTCTTCTCCTGGGACCTCCAAAACAGCCAGTCAAAGCAAGACTTTTCTTTTCATAAGTTAATCACCACATGTTTCATTATAGGGATAGGGCGTTGACTAACTCACTCACCTTAATCTTTTCAGCTTTTGGAGACAGGGTCTTGCTCAGTAGCACAGCATGGCCTTGAACTCAAGACAATCCCCCTGCCCCAGCCTCCCAAGTGCAGGGATTACAGGATGAGTCACCACTCGTGGCTTTCATCTCTCATGTAAGAGCTATCTACTGAACAAATTATTCCATAAACTTTCTTCACAAGTGTTCGCTCAATTTCTGCTGCCATGTACGAATGTTTACAGAAGTATTTTGAACAGTGTACTGTCATGTTCACATGTTTAGAGAAGGGAACAATTTTTGGCTGGTAAGACTGTGAAGGTAGCTGGGTGGTGGTGGCGCACACCTTTAATCCCAGCACTCAGGAGGCAGAGCCAGGTGGATCTCTGTGAGTTCGAGGCCAGCCTGGTCTACAGAGCGAGATCCAGGACAGGCACCAGAACTTCACAGAGAAACCCTGTCTTGAAAAAGAACCAAAAAAAAATTTTAAAAAGACTGTGAAGGCGAGTGTGTTTAACTGAATTTATGAGGCAGCAAAGAGGGGAAGAATAGATACATTCTGTTACTAGAGACTGGAGGCCAGTGATTGGGAAGCAGGAGGGGATGGGATAGGTAACATGTTAAACCTGGGTGATCAGCAGAGGTCTATTATTCCAAATATATATATCTTCTGTTTAAGCAATGCCCCACAGATAATATTGCTGCTTATCAACTTCCCTCGCTTGAACTTGGTAGCAATAATTAAGATAACAGGAAGTACTTGTTAATGATGGCTTTAATCTGAATCTGGGCTGGCTCTTAAGAAACCATCATAACTGGAGGGGAAGAGCACATCAACATTGAAAGGAGTCCACAGCGCTTCAGGATGGAGAGCATTTGGCTCCCGGACCCAGCTGGCATCCAGTTCTACCGGAACAGCAGTCACTTGAACAATCGGAACTTCTTCAAGTACTGGCTCACTTCTTCCTTGGGGTATGGCCTGAGGGCGATGCACGTGGCAATGTTTTCTGGCTGCTCCAGCCACAGCATGTGGTCGATGTCCTTCTGCTGCAGGGCCTCAGCCAGCTCCTTCAAGGTGGTCTCATCAGCAGCCTACAAGTTGCAGAACACAAAACCCAGACTGAATGACCCAGTTAGGAAGTGTCAGAGCAGTAGTCCCTGGTGGGTGGAGGGTCTCTGAAACTGGAGATGTGGTTCCACTGAAGAATTATATAGCATCAGTTTTATCCCTCGTTTGCTATTCCCACTCCTCTTTAGGATCTTGTTTTTTGTTTGTTTGCTTGCTTGTTTGTTTGAGACAGGGTTTCTCTGTGCAGTTTTGGTGCCTGTCCTGGATTTTGTTCTGTAGCCCAGGCTGGCCTCGAACTCACAGAGATCCACCTGGCTCTGTCTCCCAAGTGCTGGGATCAAAAGTGTGCACCACCGCTGCCCGGCTCCTTTAATTCTTTTTTTTTTAATGATATAACTATATTTTAATTTCAATTTTTATTTTTAATTTTTTTGGTTTTTCGAGACAGGGTTTCTCTGTGTAGCTTTGGCACCTGTCTTGGATCTCGCTCTGTAGACCAGGCTGGCCTCAAACTCACAGAGATCTGTGGCCTTTGCCTCCCAAGTGCTGGGATTAAAGGCATGAGCCACCACCACCCGGCTCTCCTTAAATTCTTTTTAATTTGCTCCAATATATGCTTTTTGACTAGCAGAATAGGATCTACGGCCTAACCCTTGACCTGGATGGAAACAACTTTCTGAAATCTCAGGAAGATCTACTGAAGGGACACTAGGCCACTTGAGCATGTGGTTCCCGCAGGCCTTGCCCTTCTCCCCAGTTCCCTCTGCCGTGCTAAAAACCATTATATTACATTCCTGAAGCTAGCCACCAAGGTTCATTCCCTTATTTGGCCACTCCCTCCTCCCGAGGCTGACTACCGAGGTCCAGCTATCAAAGTATTAAGGTCCGGCAATCAAAATCCCCCTTTGGTTCACCTAATTATCATGCCCAATCAAAATATACCACTGCATCCTAGCCCATTCTAACACAGACCACCCTTTTCTCTCTTCTTAAAAATTATACCTGAGGTCTGACGGTGGTGGTGCACTCCCAGCACTCGGGAGGCCGAGCCAGGCAGATCTCTGAGTTTGAGGACAGCCAAGGCTACACACAGAAACCCTATCTCAAAAACAAACAAACAAACAAACAAACAAAAGCCACCTGCAAGGTCATTTGCTACTGTTTTTCCCACTGGAGTCAGAAATCAGCCACTTTACCTTTTCTTCCCTACTTAATAAAGGCTCTCTCTGTGAAAACAGATGTTTTGGTGTAGTTTGTGCCTAATCCAGAGGAAGAAGTCTCCACTCTGTGGGGCTGGTTGGGGAGAGAGAGAGTGGGGCTGGATGTCTCCTTGATCTAGCAGGAGGGTTTCTGGTAAATATACTGCTTAAGAGTTAGCCCAGAGGTGAAGAGATGGCTCAGTCTCCAGGGACTACTGCTCTAACAGAGGACCCGAGTTTGCTCCCCAGTACCCACAATGGGTTGCTCTCCCAGCCTGTAACTACAGCTCCAGAAGATCCTACGCCCTCTTCTGTCTTCCAAGCATACTTGCACTCATGTGCATATACCCACACACAGACACACAGAATTTTAATTATCTTTTTAAAAAATTTCAAGTTGATCCAATAGGCGTGTAAGGCACCTGGACGGGAAAGCACCCCTCAGAAAGCTGAATGCAGATATAAACAGGCAGGTTGGCACGATGGTCCCTTTGGCCACTGTTCCTCCATTCTCACGCCCTGACAAGTGTTTTCTTGCACAATTGTCTCTCTAGAGAAGCAGGTGCTATGTACATGGCAGGGTCATGAGACTGGAGGCGCAGAGCTTCTGAAAAATACAGGCCTCTTCCCAGCTCACTGAGCGTCTCTCTCCTTCTTAACAAACGGCCTCTATTTCCCTTCCTAACCATGTTTATTAAGGCAGTGGTACTTTTAGGCACAGCTTTAAAAGGCATTACTGGTGTACAGGTAGAAAGAAAGGACCGCGCGTCCCCAGCTCCGCCCTCCCAGGGAATCTAAGGGACACGTGAACAACCCGTTTGTGCTGAGACGCCTGCGACGGCGGGGTTTATGTCCGCTCGTTGCAGTCACGCCCTTCCCGGGAAGGTTCACTGCGCAGCCGCTCAAGCGGCAGATCATTCTCTAAACTCCTAAAGATCGCTCCAACTATCTTGCCGTACCTACTCCCGGAAGTCAAGGTTTGGGCCCGAGTAGACCTACTTCCGGCCTCTGCACACCCATCCCTTAACTTCCTTCCGGTTACGCTCCGACGACTCACCTCGAGAACCACCTTGCGCATGCGCCCCAGCTCCCGGAGGTACGCTACCGTGTGCGGATGGTCTCGGTGAAGATGCAAGGCTGCGGTGGCGGCGTGACAGGCCTGCGCTACCAGTGCGCCCGTGGGCCAGGAGAAAGGAGCCTGCGCTAGGTCCTTTCGTAACACTAAGTACTGTACGAGGATCTGCGGCTCCGCCCCAGAGCCTGCCATCTTCCTGACCATCTGAATGGCCGAGCCTACTCTGCGGTGCATGCTGGGATATGGGTGGAGCCGTGGGCGCCGCCATGTTTTTGTACGGCGGAAAGCGCAAAGCATGCTGGGGTCGGTGGGTTGCGTGTTTGAAGAACGCCCTGGGCGGGAATTCTTAAACTGGATCCTGAAGAGGAAGCAAGACTCGGCGGTAGACGGAGTAGCGGTCCAGCACAGCTCCTTCGGTGTTCGGGTGGGGGGGAAGCCCGGCTGCATCGGAGTGGCCACGGCGGTGAGGTAGGCGGGGACACATCTGACAAGGACAAGGCAAGGGAGGCGGGCGGGGACACCTTGTTTATCCCGGGACCGTCAGGGTTTCCCCGAGTGGCAATAGAGAGATGATTGTTTGTCTCTTCCTGTTTACAGGGAAGGGCGTTTGGGTCCAGGTTCAACTTGCCCTGTCCGGCCAGCTTCGTAGGAAAAAGCACTTGAGACGCGAAAGAGGAGATGGAGTCTGCGAATACTTTGTGTCAAGGCGGAGAGTGCAAAGGAGGTATTGAGAGGGTTGGCCTTCCCTGTTCTGCAGCAAGATCTCTTTCCAGACCTTATTACAGAGTTGTTGCCGCAGTGGGCCATTCATTACCTATGTTGATTAGATACGGGTTTGAGTCAGGGCTCTGCCTGTGATTTGGGCACATTACTTTATAGTTCTGCTTCAGTTTCTTCCTTTCCCTCTCTTTTATTTTTAAATTTTTAATGTGAGGTAATAAACGACACGTGGGTTGAAATTGTTACTTAGAAACTTAAAAGTGAGTGTGATGACTTAATGTGTTAAAACTGTGCTACGCACTCGGGAGGCAGAGGCAGGTGGATCTTTTTGAGTTCGAGGCCAGCCTGGTCTACAGAGCGAGATCCGGGAAAGGCGCAAAGCTACACAGAGAAACCCTGTCTCAAAGAAAAACCTGCTGCTGTCGCATGGGACCCATCCTCTGGATGATGGTTCTCAACCTGTGGGTCACGACTCCCTCGACAAACCTCCGTCTCCAAAATTATTTACATTCCGATTCATAACGGTAGCAAAATTACAGCTATGAAGTAGCAACGAAAATAATTTTATGATTGGGGGGGGTCACCCCAACATAAGGAGCTGTATTAAAAGGTGGAAGCACCAGGAGGGTTGAAAAGCCCTGGTCTAGAACTAAATGACTGTGTATCCCAAGTTGGCCTGGAACGCTACAGTGATCCTCCACCTCACTTCTGTGAGCCACTGCACCTGTCTAAGACAAGTCACACGTGAAAGTCTGTGAACGCTGGGCAGACCCAGCCTGGTCAGCGGTTCTAACAGTCTGCTTGTCAACTCTGACATCCAAAAGGTGGAAACATTTGGCTAGTGCCGTGTGGGTTTTCTCCCTCTGCCTGGTCGTTGCGGCTGTTGGTTATATGAGCCTGGAGAGGAACGGGATACAGCAGAGAACAGTGGTAACACCTGTGCTGAGGCGCCTGGGGAACTAAGACAGGCGTCAGTGAGTGCATAAGAAAAGCAAGTGAGATGTGATGGTGCTGCATGTTGTGGGTTTTGAGCTTGTGCAAGTTTTTTTTTTTTTTAAATGAGATACACACTAGTAATTGATGTCTAGCCTTGACTTAGCTCATAGGTGAATGAGCTAAGTGTGGGCTGTCCCAAGGCAGGTGAACAGATTTTTGTGTCTGTATGTTCTTGTGAACCCTGCAAAGTGGATACTGGATCTGCTTTAGCAACCTAGTTACGCGGTCTTAATGTCAGAAGCATAGGACTTCTTTAGGGAGATTTCATCCATTTGTGGTAAAGCTACTGAGGCTCGTCCTTTTCCACCCTGTACATGTGCTTCTGTGATAAACAGGCTTAGAGGGGATGCTGCTGCTCCCCACACAGCAAGCAGCAGGCAGACCAGAGTCTCCTGTTCGCTGTAAATAGGTGTCCTGATTAGGGAGTGCTTTTACACCAATGTTCAACAGAGAGGTTGATGGTCTCTGGTTTGCTTGTCCGGTCCTCTGGTTTTATAAATTTATGGCAGGTGGGGTGGCCCACACCTTTAGTCCCAGCACTCTGGTAGAGGCAGGTGGATCTCTGTGAGTTCAAGGCCAGCCATATAGGAGAGGTCCTGTCTCAATAAATAAATAAATTGAGGGCAAATATCTTATTTAACAGTTTAGCTGGCTCCCAAATCCTAGTTAAATGAGACATCTATTGTTGTTACTATTTTTGGTTGTCAACTTGATACGCCTGTGAAGAGGGAACCTCAGCTGAGGAATTGCCTCATCAGCTTGGTCCGTGGGCATTTCTTTAGGACATTTTTTTTTTTTATTATATTGCTAATAGATGGAGGAGGGCCTGCCCCACTGTAGGTGGAACGGCCCTGGGCAGGTGGTCCTGGGTTGTGTCTGACAGTTAGCTGAGCGGGAGAAAGCAAGTCAGGAAGTGTGTTCCTCCATGGTCTCTGCTTCAGTTCCCACCCTGAGTTCCTGTCACCCCCAGGCAGATGGTTCTGGTTGTCTAAGAAAGCAAACTGAGCAAGTGTTCCTCCAGCAGTTCCTGCCGTCGGTTTCTATGACTCCTCCCCATGATGGACGGAACCTGTAAGATGAAGTAGCACTTTCCTCCCAAAGTTGCTGCTTTGGGTCAGTGTGTAGCACATCAAACCGTTACTTCTTGGCGTGTGCGTTTTGCCAGTTAAACCCTTGTCCGATTGTGAAGTCTTTTTTTTTTTCATTTTCTTAGGTGTTTTAGCTCACCTGGAAAGACTAGAGGCCCAAACGAATAGATCGGATAGAAAGTCTGAAGAGCCGGCCGTTCCCACCAAGGAACGTTCTCTTAGAGCCAAGATTCAGGAACTGCGGAGACAGCGAGATCAGCTGAGGGCTGAAGTGAAGCGACGGCAAGCCGGAGTGAGTAGAAAAGCCTCGTGGGCTCCCCGGGGGGCGTGAGGATCAGCTACGATCCCCAGATCGGTAAACCGGGAGGGATCACGTGCTTTACTCGGGATCATGCCGGAACGCGTTCAAGTCTTTGATGCTCTTCAAATAGTCTGACCTGCGGAGGTAGAGCTAGGCCTGTTGACTAATAATCGTCAGGTGGCGATGAAGAGGCAGGCGAGCTCTCCTAACAGCCCCCCCCCTGCCTTCTCTCACAGACACCTGACCTGGTGCCTCAGCCTCAGCAGATCTAAGTCGTTTGTCATGTTCCCATCGGTGCCAATGTTCTGTCGCCTGGTCTCGGAATTTCGCGGTGAACACTGGCCATCCCTTCTTTCTGGTGTCCACTCTAGCTGAGGTCCGGTCAGCAGATCTGTCAAGTGGTCCTTTCTGCGGTCTGTACTTCACCTCTGCCATACATTAAGTATTATCAGTGCATGTGGTAAACCACTTACCAGGTGGATTGGATCCTAGGATAATTACAGTAGTTCGGGGGTCTCTTAATAGTTCCATTTCCCCACTAAATCCTGCAGGGCCAAGAAAATGTTACAAAACGTCACATTCGTCCCCTGCCCAAATCCGGTCAGTAACCACTCACGTGATGCCCATCGTTACCCAAGGCCAGCCTTCCCTCCGGTTCCCTCCCTCCCTTCCCACTCTTCCTCCTTTTCTTTAGTTTGCTTTATATTGAAGTAAAGTATATGTAACGTGGAGAGGCCGGTGAGCATCTTAAGGGAATCCAGCCAGCTTTCTGCTGGAAGTGGAAACTTAGGATAGTACCAGTACCCTAGAATTAGCCTTTTGCCTCCTGTTGTTAATCATGCCTTTCGGTGTAACCACCGATCCAGTTTCTGGTACCAAGAGTGGTTTTACCAGGTGGCAGGAGAGATGGCTCAGAGGTTAAGAGTACTGGCTGTTCTTCCAGAGGTCATGAGTTCAATTCTCAGCAACCACGTGTTGGCTCACAACCATCTGGACTGAGATCTGGTGCCCTCTTCTGGCCTGCAGGCATGCATGCAGGCAGAACACTATACATAATAAATAAATAAACCTTTAAGAAAAGAAAGATTTTGCCTGATTTTGAACAGTGTTTTGGATCTTGCTCCTTAATCAGGCTTGAATTCACTCTGACCCAGGCCACACTAGACCCTGCAGTCTTCCTGGCTCAGCCTCACAGGGCCGCCACACCTGAACTCCGTACAGCTGTAGACCATAAACTCTCCTGTCTTGCTTGTTTTGCTAAGCGGTACGGTCTGTGAGACTGATTCAGACCATCACTGCTGTGAGGCAGCTTTGTTTCCTGACTGTTACGGTTTACCTGTTCCACTGTTGACGCCATGTGGGTCATGAAGATTGCTGCTGTGACATTCTTGTCACTTTTGTTGCATTAAAAACAATGCTTTCCGCCAGGTGGTGGCACACGCCTTTAATCCCAGCACTCTGGAGGCAAAGCCAGGCATATCTCTGAGTTCAAGGCCAGCCTGGGCTACAGAGTGAGTTCCAGGACAGGCACCAAAACAAAAACCCTGTCTCAAAAAAAACAGAAAACAAACAAATAAAATAGCACTTGAGATCACAGTGGCCCCATTCAGGAGAGTGGTGAGCTCTGTCCTTGTGTCTCCAAACCCAGCTGCTTAAACCCAATTATGAAGAGGTGACCTTGTGGCAAACTTGAGTTTGACCACTGGGACAGGACATGCTGTCTGTGGGCTGAACAGCTGTGCTCTAGGGCTGTAATGACCAATGTGGGGGTGCTGAAGGGAGAGTGCTTTACCAGTATGTGGCATTGTTAGTTTTAAAGGTTTGTCATCATGGTGGAGTGTAGTAGTACCTTATTATGGACTTACTTAGTATTTGACTTTTTTCTTGTCATTCTGTAAAGAGCAAAATGTAAGTGTTTTTGTAACATTACATATTTACACAATATTAAGTGTTATTGATAATCTAGAGGTAATTCAAAGTGTACAAGAAGTGGAGGTTGTATGCAAATACTCTGGCCTTTTTTAGGCAGGGGACTTGAGCATCCATAGATTTGGGTATCCGCAGTGGATCCTAGAATCAGTCTCCTTTCAGCACTGTGCTATGCCTGTGTGAGTGAGATTCCTGAGTCTTCCAAACATTCTTCTTACAGCCTTTGAAGTAAATAAATAAATGTCATCAACTAGGATTTTTTTTTTCTTTGCGTATTTTGGGTTTGAGTCCTTTAGACTATGGCTTGCCTTCCACGCTCTGTAAGTGGAGATGAGTTTTGAAATTTAGCTCTGTGCTTTGAGTTTTTGTTTCATAAGTCTTCATCTAACACAGTAATGGTGGGGCTCTGTTATTTTATGCTTTGTTTCATCTTTCAGAGATAGTTCATGCTTACCTCCATCATCTGCCAGTATGCCTCCAAACAGAACATCTTGAAAAGATCATTTGTCTCATGGTATGGTAGTCTAGTTGGTCCTGTCTGGATTCTGTTTGGTTCCATTGGTCTGTTTAACAACTGGCCTTATATTTTGAGGAGCAGGTATTTTAGGCTGTGATGTCTGTAGCAGCTACATAGCTTCACTCTGTTTGTATGAAAGATGTAAAATGGGCATGGTGTGAGCTGGTGAAGTCTAATTTTAAAGATTTATTTACTTACTATGTATGCAATGTTCTGTCTGCATATATGCCTGCACACCAGAAGAGGGCACCAGATCTCATTACGGATGGTTGTGAGCCAGCATGTGGTTGCTGGGAATTGAACCCAGGTCCTCTGGAAGAGCAGCCAGTGCTCTTAACCACTGAGCCATCTCTCTAGCCCTAAATCTAGTTTTAAAAAAGCACCCTGCTGGTCATGGTGGCACAGGCCTTGTATTGCCAACACTTGAGAGATTAAGAGAGAAAGATCTAGAGTTCAGGACCAGCCTGGCTGTCATGACACAAGCTGTTTGTAGTTTGGTAACCCCTGAAGTGTATGATTTTGTCTTTTAGATGTTTTCCTGAGTGTTTGGTTGTATACATTTGAAGGCCAGGTATGGCGCACACCTTTAATCCCAGCACTCTTGAGGCAGAGGCAGGTGGATCTCTGTGAGTTTGAGGCCAGCCTGCTTTACATAGTGAGTTCCTGGACAACCAGAGCCACGTCTGACCCCATCTCAAAAAAAAAAAAAAGAAAAAGAAAAAAAAAAGAATTACCTTTGACCTTATATTTGGAGTCTAAATTAAGTTGGACATCATTTTTGTTCATGCTTTAAGGATGTCATCTATATCTCCAGGCCCACGTTTTCAAGATTAAACACTAATCTTATTAGGTGATATTCTTGTTTGCGTGTGGTTTCTTTTTTTTTTTTTTTTTTTTTTTTTTTTCCTTCACCTTTATATTCTCTGTCTTTGGTGTTTGAGAGTTTTATGTCATAATGAGGTCAGGTATGATGTTCTTTATTTGGTTTGGTGATGCTTAAATTCATACTTGAAGTTTTTCATTTATTGAAAAATGTGACCATATTATCATTTCAAGTAATGCATCAGTAACATTCTTTGCTATGTTTCTGGGATTCCCAGGAATTGTGGGGTTTTTTTGTTTTGTTTTAGTTTGTACATATGTTTTCCTGTAACAGATCTATACTGATTTTCCAATCTTACTTTTGCTTTCATGCTTGTTTTAATAAATATTTAAAAAAATACCCGTTTCATTTAACCACCCTTTCTTCTTTTTTTTTTTTTTTTTTTTTTTTGGTTTTTTGAGACAGGATTTCTTTGTAGTTTTCACTACAGAGTGAGATCCTGTCCTGGATCTCACTCTGTAGACCAGGCTGGCCTCGAAATCACAGAGATCCGCCTGCCTCTGCCTCCCGAGTGCTGGGATTAAAAGTGTGCGCCACCACTGCCTAACTTAATCACCTTTTCTTAATATTGTTTCTTTTTGGGTGTTTTTTCTGGCATCTGTTAATTACACATAATGGGTTTCATTCTGACGTTTTCGTGTGTGTATGTAGTACTCCCTTACCCTTTGTCCCCAGTCCCACCCCCAGGCCCTTTTCCCAACCTGTCCCCTTCTACTTCCATGGTTTTTTGTTTTATTTTTCAAGGCAGTGACCCAGTGGCTTTCATTGGGTTGCTTCTAAGGGTATGGGTAAGGGTTTGTTTCCAAAAGTATGTGCACCTTACCAGTGGCTCTGTCACTGAAGAAAACGTCTCTCCATCCCCCATCAATCATTGTGTATAATCCTTAGGAAGGTGTAGGAACCCATGAGCCCTTTTCCCTTCCATTAGAGCAGTGGTTCTCAACCTTCCCAAAGCTGCGACCTTTTTATACAGTTCCTCATGTTGTGGTGACCCCAATCATAAAATTATTTTGTTGCTACTTCATAACTGTAACTTTGCTACTGTTATGAATCATAATGAAAACATCTGTGTTTTCTGATGGTCTTAGGTGACCCCTGTGAGAGGATCATTTGACCTCCCCCCAGGGTTCACGACCCACAGGTTGAGAACTGGTGCTCTAGATTGTCACGTGGACAGAACCACCAATCAGTGTAGTGTGGTTGCTAATTTTTCCTATGATGAGTATGAGAAAAACATTAGAAGGGTTCTGAGTTAGGTTACTCTCCTCCATAGACTTGAGTTTTGGCTTCCCAGCAGGCGGCTAGCACACAGCTGCTGAGGTGGTCTATCTCTCCTTTGTCCTTAGTCCTAGGGTGCAGCCCTTCCCCAGTCACAAGATTGAAAGTGTACTGGGGACAGGTCTGTCTTCTGCTTCGCCTTATAACCATTAGCAGGTTCTTTTTGTGACGTTTCTTAGACCCCAGTCACACACGTGCAGGTCTGGACTTAGCAAGTGCCAGGACAGATCGTGTGTGTGTGTGTGTGTGTGTGTGTGTGTGTGTGTGTGTGTGTGTGTGTGTTCCCTTCCTGGTGGGATCTTGGCTACCCTGGTAGTGTTGGTCTTCCGTGGTCCCCCACACAGTGAAAGTACACCTTGAAATGCAGATCAGCGCATGCTCCGAGTGAAGGGGGCTGCAGGAGAGCCAGCTTCTTCTTCTTTTTTTTTTTTAAGATTTATTTATTTACTGTGTATAGTGTTCTGCCTGAATGTATCCCTTCAGGCCAGAAGAGGGAGCCAGATCTCATTACATATGGTTGGGAGCCACCATGTGGTTGCTGGGAATTGAACTCAGGTCCTCTGGAAGAACAGCCAGTGCTCTTAACCTCTAAGCCATCTCTCCAGCCTGCCAGCTTCTTCAGAAGCACTTGGTTGATGTTGTTTATCTTCCCAATCCTGTTTGGGTTTCAATAATGCCTTCAGACCATTTTCTGTTTTCTGGTGTAGCTCACCCGCTTGCACACTTACCTCTGAGGAAAAGGTAGCTGCAAGTGTGAGTGTGCGTCCTGGCCCCGAAACCCTCCAGTCTGGCCCCGACCAGCTCTCCCAGCTTTGCCTTGCCGTCTGTCTTGTCCACCCTGCGCTCATCCTAGACTTTGTTCACACCCTTTTCTCGCTCCCCTGCCATCTTCTCCGTTGCCGTCAGAACCCTGGTTCATTAGCTGGCAGTTTCCACTCTGATTCCTCACATCCTGATCTCCATCCTCTCCCTCTGCTGTCCATCACAGCACCACTGAGTGGTCACAGATGCCTTACAGAATAGAGAAGCTGCCCTGTTTTCATACAGTCAAATGGTGGCCGAGACCTGTGGTGCCCTGTTGTAACCAGTCAGCTTTGCTGCATATCCTGTAGGTAAAAGCATCTTCGGCCAATGAAGACTTAAACCAAACAGTGGAGATCAGTGAGCAGGAGCTTCTGGAAAGGCAATGGGGAAACGTGAAAGCCATTCTCCAGGCCTATCGGTTTACAGGTAGGCCTTTGTTCTGATCTGACTTTTTTTTTTTTTTTTTTCAAACTAAAGTTTTTCCGAGACAGGGTTTCTCCGTGTTGTTTTGGTGCCTGTCCTGGAACTTGTTCTGTAGCCCAGGCTGGCCTTGAACTCACAGAGATCCGCCTGGCTCTGCCTCCCGAGTGCCGGGATTAAAGGTGTGTGCCACCACCGCTCGGCTAGACTGTTCCTAGTTGGCTAGCTGTATGTATTATTAGGCCAGACTTGGTTCCTGAGAACTTACTTGCACACCCCGCCATACACACACAAGCTGGCATGCTGCTTTGTAGGCCTGTCCACCTGAAGATCAGCCTCCTTAGACAGTAAAAGATTGGTGGCCGGCCGAAACTATTTCTTTTCATGAAATTCGTTTGCTAGACCTTCTACTACAGTAGTTCTCAACCCGTGGGTCGTGACCCCCTCTTAGGGGGAGGGGTTGAACAACCCTTTCACAGGGGTTGCATGTCAGATATTTATGATTCAAAACAGTAGCAAAATTGCAGTTATGAAGTAGCAGTGAAAATTATGTCATGGCTGGGGTGACCACACATGAGGAACTGTCTTAAAGGGCTGCAGCGTTAGGAAGGTTTCCCGCTTGCCTGTGTTATGGGAGTGGTTTGAGCTTCAAATCTGTTACATCATAAATAGGAGTTTGTTCTTCATCTGTGCCACAGAGGACTGTGGGAAGAATAGACTGAGGACTGTCATAAACTAGAAGCCAGGGACTATAAAGAATACACAGAATAAAATTCTCTCATTTTTCCCTCGGTATTTGATATTAGGGTGTCTTCTCATTTCCCCATCTTTCCATAACTTTAACCACTTGGGCTCATGTGAACACTCATGGCAGGGGGTGGGGTGGAGTGCCTGATATCTTTCATTTGGCTGGCACTGTGCACATTGTGTGTTAATATACCAGGCCGTCTGCAGGCTGCTAGAATGCCCAGACAGCAGCCCACGACCTGTGATGGGCATCTGAGAGGTGTTGTCTGTCTGTCTGCCCAGGGCTCAGCGGGAAGCTGACCAGCCGCGGAGTCTGTGTGTGCATTAGCACTGCCTTCGAAGGGAACCTCCTGGAGTCCTACTTTGTCGACCTCGTCATAGGGAAGCCACTCCGGATACACCACCATTCCATCCCAGCCTTCATCCCTCTAGAAAAGATAGCCACGGCATACCTACAGACTGATATCCAGCGCTTCCTGTTCAGTCTCTGCGAGTACCTGAACGCCTACTCGGGGAGGAAGTACCAGACAGACCAACTGGAGGTATTTGTGTAGGGATTTTGTGTCCCATTTTATTGCCCACGACAGACTTCAAAGGAAGACAGACTATACTTTCTTTTTCCTTTTTTTTTTTTTTTTTTTCTTTTAAAACAGGTTTCTCGGGTTGGGGATTTAGCTCAGTGGTAGAGCGCTTGCCTAGCAAGCACAAGGCCCTGGGTTTGATCCTCAGCTCAAAAAAAAAAAAAAAAAACCAAAAAACAGGTTTCTCTGTGTAACAGCTCAGGCTGTCTTGGAACTCGCCTTGTAGACAGGCTGACCTGGAACTCACAGAGATCCTCCTGCCTCTGCCTCCCGAGTACTGGGATTAAAGGCTTGCGCCACCACCACTTGGCTAAGAGCATGCTTTCTTAAAGATTTATTTTTGAGACAGAGTTCTTCAATCCTAGCTGGTCTTGAACTTGGGCCAATATACTGGTCTCTGCCTCCTAAATGCTGGGATTACAAGTGTGTGCCAGCATAGCTGATTTTGTTTTTATTATTTATATATAAATTTATTTTTTGCAAGACTGGAGGCCTTGTGCCTGAACCTAAAGCAAGTTCCCTCTTTATTTCACACCCTTTTGCAACTCTCAGTGAGGTTGAAGGACAGGTCTGGTTACAGGATCCCATTCCTAATGGTGACCCTCACATTTTTATCACAAGACGGAGTTGCCATGCTGTTAATTCAGCAAGGATTTTGAGCTCTGATGTTCTATGCTCAATGTTGTGCTGACCCTAAGTGCAGGTGTCCAGTACCATAGAGGACTGCTGATTGTCTTCTGAACGCTAGCCTGACTTCTAAGGGTGGGAACCAGAGGCAGGAAGTCAATACAAAGGAAGTGACCTCTGTAGCTGGGCAGTTCCACCTCTGCCCAGGTATCAATTAAAGAAAATGTCTTTCTGTAGAAGATAGTCTCAGTGAAACTTGGCAGAAATAGCATCTCCTCCCTCTGTTCCCTCGTCGTTCACTGAAGTACTTCCCACCAGACTCTCGATGGACTTTTGTCCCTTTGAGACAAGATTTTGTGTATGTCGGGCTGGAGAGGTTGCCCCATACCACACAGTGCCTCTGGAGCAGTGACCGTCACACCCTCTTTGTGCCTTGCCCCGCCAGACTGACTTCAGCGCCTTCCTCACCGGACCTTTGCAGAGAAACGCCCTGTGCAACTTGCTGTCATTTACCTATAAAGTGGATCAGGGGCGCCAGACCTCCTCCTTCAGTGCCAGATTGCTGTATGAGGACCTCACAGCAACTCTCCCCACAGACGCCACCGTGACGTGTGCAGGTACGAGGAATGATGCCCCTGAAGAAACCGCGTCCTCTAGTTTAAGCAAGTGGAGGGAACTGTGTAGAGCAACATCAAGTGGACCACTTACAGCAGCCCCTTTTCACACGCTAGAAATGTTCTGAGATACAGAGAGAATGTGTTCTACAGTTCTTCCTTGTAAATGCCAAGCATCATTATCTTAGTTTTCCACATTCCTGGCCTTTCCCAGATTAGCCAGAATTCTTGTTTTCATGGGCGTGTGCCCCCCCCCCCCCCCCAGATAGACAACTCAGGCAGAGTCCTGGGGTTGTCTATGATGAAGTTAGCAGACACTTAGCCCTCTAGAGTATATTTTGTAAGGGGTGGGTTTTCAGGGTTAGCCAGGAGACTTATTTTCACTTGTGTAGAGGTACCATAATAATCTGACATGGGCAGTAACTTTTTTTAAAAAGCAGTAATCTGATGATGTCACAAGTTTCACACCCACAGGTTTTAGATTGTTCTAGTCTCTATTTTTTCTAAGTTCCTGTTCTCAAAATGACCTTGTTCTGGTAAGGAGCAGCCTCTCCAGAGCTAGAGGAAACTAAAAAGTCACACGGGTCTGGAAGAGGAGTGACCTGGATCTGATGCCTCTGGTTGGATTAATGAGGTTGACAGAACCTTTTCCTTTAGCGGCAGAAGCATCGTCCGCTCGTTGGGAAGAGCTCAGAACGTCCCATGAAACGCTCTTCCGAGCCAAGCCCCTGCACCAGGTGTTCGCTTCATTTTCCAAACAAGTTGAAAGGCTGGATTTGAGCCTAGTCTCCTGAAAAACTGCTATTGGGGACACCTCCGAAGTGAATCCGTTCATGCTGCCTGCAGTCCAGGACCGGTCAGCAAAGCTGTGCAGAGCAGATGCTTGCCTGGACGCCACCCTTGCCATGAGACTAGACACCCACTTCGTCGCTTGTTGAGTTCCTGTCTGTGGACACTGGGCGACTTGGACAGTTCTCCTTGATTGCCTGAGCACTCGGTACAGTACTCCAGAGCATCTCTTCCTCTCTAAGTACCGGTTGCTTGGCTCATATGTTTATATTCTTGCTGAGAATCAGCTCAATTGGGGGTAACTGAAGACCTTTTGTGGGCATCTCTAGCTTCTGTGGGAGCTATATATCTATGATAGGGCATGTAGTTCAGAAGGGAAAGTGTTTAACCCCAGCTTTGGAGTAGCATGTTCTAGGTCACTGTTTGATGGGAGAAAGTACTTTTGGTAATTAGGGGTTCTTTGTATTTAATATTGTTTCCTAAATTATTGTGGTGGAGAGCTGAAGGCATGAAGTCACTTGGAGAAAGTAGTGTTAGAAATCTGCACATCAGTCAGTGGACCCTCCCCTGTCGTCTCCTCCTGCACGCTCCAGGCCTGGCTGTCTGTTCCATCCTCTTTCCGTTCCTAAATGCTCTTAACATCCCTTTTCCTTCTAACCATGGCTGTCGGGTGTGCAGCATGCATTGTTCCTTGGTAGAACTTCTTAACATCTGTTTAGACCTATCTGCTGGTCACGTTCTCCTGTTACAATTCCTGTTTCTCCTCTGCTAGTCCCAAGACAGACCTTGATCCTCCACAGGCCCAGCATTTGGGCCTCACTCGGAACTAGCTGCTTCCTGGAAATCTCCATGTATGGGAGCTCCAGCAAACTCCGGGAAGACTATAGGAGAGATAAGCCCGCATGGGTCGCCCTACGGGGCCTTAGAATAAAAGGTTCAGTCCAGTTTCCGCCCTCTAGGCACGTGGTGGGCGGGGGAGGAGGTGTCGCGGTAACAGAATTGCCACACCGGCGCCATCAAGTTGAGTAAAGCTTTTAATAAAACAGTCCTGTTCTTGGTCAACACCTGCAGACTCTGTTGAAGCAGTAGCGAAGGAGACTGTAGCAAGAGCTCAGAAGACAAGGCAATGTCGGAAGGTTGTTCTTAAACAGGTTAAAAATATAAATGTAGAAGATCTGTTTATATATTTTTCTTTCAGAAATCGCCCCCCTCCCCCTCCCAGGTGACAGGAAATATTGCACTTTCTGCTCTCGTGACTAAGGTGACGTGGGTTCCAGAAGAACCATTCAAGATTATCAGGAACGTTGGGGTAAGGGCCACTGACCTAACTGGACCGGAGGAGGCAGCCCGCCCGCCCACCCGTGGAGCTCTCCTCAGCCAGTGAAAAGCCCTTCTGAAGATTCCAGCCGGGCGGCAGCGTTGTCCACACTGAGCCCTCCTCAGCAGCGCCCACGGCTCTCTACTCACAGTGGCCACGGCCTCTCGGGCTGGAGGGCTGAGCCGGAACCAAGGCTGCTCCGTACGTACTATGCCTAAGACCCCTACTCTGGGGAAGCTGCAGGCACACCGAGGAGGAGGAGGAGGAATGGCCACCCTCAGAGCTCACAGCCACACAGGAAGGCAGGCTGAGGAAACCTGAAACCTAAAGTCTATGGGAATGTGCACGTCAACGGTTGGGAACACCGGGACTCGGTCAGTGGCCCTCTCCCAAAGCCTTTCTCCCCTTCCGCTGTGGACCGCGGTGGACGGGGCCGCTCAGGGGTTGTCCACCACTTGGTGAGGCAGTGTAACGGAGGAGCCGTTGGGGAAGGCGGCCGGCCTGTCCCGGCCCTTCAGGAAGAAGGTCAGGAGCTCCCCTTTCCCTTTCACAAAGATGGGGCCTCGCCTCACAAAGCGGAAGCCGTACTCGCGAAGGATGACCTGCGTCTCTTCCACCACCTGCATGGGGAGAGAAGACCGGGGGGTACAGTGGTTAGGGCTCACGGATCCAGGTGGTCCCGCTGCTTCAGTAGTGTGCAGGGACGGAGTGTATAGAGCTCTACCCCAGCCCACATGGGATGGGAGCCGTGGACCAGCCCCAAGACATTCAGACGTCGGACTATTTCAGGTCAAAGGTGCTTCAGTTGCTGTTAGCACAAGATGTCAACTTTGTACCCAAGGGCAGGCTTTTATTCCCTCAGAACTACTCATCTTAAGTGTTGGAAATGGACCAAAGCCCATTCTCCCTCTGTTCAGGCTCTAGAGGCCGCAGTACTGTCAACTGTGACCTACGGGCCCCAGGCAGGGGCAGTAAGGTATGGCAAAGCACCCAGGCTTCCCCTTTGATTGGAGTACTTCCTGCGTTCAGCGCATGCCCAGTTCTGGTACGGAACATACCTGGATGTTGCCCATGACCCCTGTGGACTCCATCCTGCTGGCCACAGGAACATACCTGGATGTTGCCCATGACCCCTGTGGACTCCATCCTGCTGGCCACAGGAACATACCTGGATGTTGCCCATGACCCCTGTGGACTCCATCCTGCTGGCCACAGGAACATACCTGGATGTTGCCCATGACCCCTGTGGACTCCATCCTGCTGGCCACAGGAACATACCTGGATGTTGCCCATGACCCCTGTGGATTCCATCCTGCTGGCCACAGGAACATACCTGGATGTTGCCCATGACCCCTGTGGATTCCATCCTGCTGGCCACAGGAACATACCTGGATGTTGCCCATGACCCCTGTGGATTCCATCCTGCTGGCCACAGGAACATACCTGGATGTTGCCCATGACCCCTGTGGATTCCATCCTGCTGGCCACATTGACTGTGTTGCCCCAGATGTCATAGTGCGGTTTCCGGGCTCCGATGACTCCAGCCAGAACCCCTCCTTTGTTCATGCCTGGGGTAGAGAGAGTGGAGCATGGCCACCAGCCAAGCTTGCGTTAGCCTCTCAGCAGCTACCAATTTCTCTTTCATAGGTGATCACCTGACCCTCACTGGGCTCCTGATCATATAACGCCTCTATTCCTTGTTAAAAGTTGCTAAGTCCTGCACAGCTCTCTTGTGATATACTCGGGACTATAGTGGCCGGCTTCTCGGTAACCTCCCCAACACTTCAAACTTCTGTCAACTCCCAAAAGCAGCAGAGGCGCCCCTCCTAACAGCCTTCTCGCAATGCCTGACTGAAGGGAGGCTGGACTGCCCTTGCACACATTAGGAATTTTCCTTAAAGAGTGCAGAACTAAAGGTCATCTAGGTCCCCTCTAGTTCTGTGAGTGTGCTCTTCCCTACCCATCTGTCTGCGCCTTCTAAGTCTGGCCCGCTGAGCACCCCAGCACTGACGATGCCACATCTGTCTGCGCCTTCTAAGTCTGGCCCGCTGAGCACCCCAGCACTGACGATGCCACATCTGTCTGCGCCTTCTAAGTCTGGCCCGCTGAGCACCCCAGCACTGACGGTGCCTTTACCTATACGCAGCATGAAGTTGTTGAATGACTGGTTGTTGATGTTGGTGAGCGTATCCTTCATGGCTAATGCAAAGTCGGCCAGGTCGGCCAGGTGCTGCCAGCGCTCCTTGTCTGACTTCTCCTCCTGTGTGGAAAAGCGATGTGACCGTAGCAGCTAGGAGAGCTGCTACAGGACAGATGCAAGGGAGCAGCTGCTAACACCCTTCTTTCTCTTCCCCAAAGGAATTCACAACTCTTAGGATCAGCATGTCACCACTGCAGAATTCATGCATTTGTGTAAGGCAGAGCCTGGGCCGAGAAGGTGGGAAAGATGCCCCATCTCGGTGGTTTCCTCTGTGCCGTGTGACTGACTGGTTACAAGGCAGAGCTCTGTTTGAGTCTGGTCCTCTCTCGGTCCCTCAAGATGGGAAGCCCTTGCTGGGCCACCTTCCACTGGCTTTACTTAGCTCGTTCAGGAAGTGGAGGTGGAAAGGAAAACCAGGTGATCTAGGAAGAGTGCGTGGCCCCAAGATCCCCATAGCTCCCTTTCTGGCCTGGAGATGACGGCAGGTCTACTCAGCTTGGTGAAGGCCCTTCATCGGCAGCCGGGAGGTTCCAGGGCTCCCGAACTGATACAGTTCTTACACGGTACGGGGGCACTGTGGGAATGAGCCCTTTGTACAAGAGTGTTCACTAACTTCATCTGATCCTCATGTCCCATGGGCTGAGGCTGGCTGCCTCTCTCCTACGCGGCTGCGTCGCCTCGCTGGACTCACCTTGCTGGAGCTCGTGAAGCCATTGGTGTTGACGTCGGGGGTGACTCCCGAAGCTGCCATGTAGGTGCTGCCGATGGTTTTGATCTTGGTGATGACCCGGAATTTGGGATTGTCCAGGAGCTGAGGACAGAGTTAGAACCAAGGGAAGATGAACGAGTTCACTATCAAACTTGCCTGTTTACAAGGACCAACAATGCATCTAAAAGACGCTTTCCTGTATTGGCTTAAGTCATTCCGTGCTACCTTGTCACGTGATGCTCAGCCCCATTTCCCTTAACACTGAGATGTTTATCTTAGTGTCCCTGGCTAGTCTCCTCAGGTGATGGAGCACCTAAGGAAAGGTACCCAGTCTGTGTTTGAGAGTGGGAGGAAGGGGAAGTCCTTAATCCCATGAACTTGCCAGGACAGTCCCAGGATCCCGCCTCAGACCCATCAGTTCTGGATGGCTGCACAAGTCCAATTACTATAGAACTCTCATGGGAAATGAGGCCAGCCTAGCGTACCCTGCTGCTCTGACTTGTGCAGAATGTCACGGGGTGTGATACAAAAGGTGTTAGCTCTATGATGAAGGACACTCACCGAGTCAAAATCAGAGATGATCTCATTGAGGAAGCGGAGACACTCGATGCCACCGTTATTGATGCTCTCCTCAGTGTAGAAGTCCGCAAAGTTGGGCAGGGAGGCAAACATGACTCCAATCTCATCGTAAGACTGGCTGTACAGCTCCTAAAAAGAGGCAAGGCCAGGCTAAAGTGAAGTGCTTGCTGCCCAACTGTGAGGAACCAGAGTTAGAGGCAAGCAGGCAAATCGGGACAGTGAGCCTTGGTTCCGCAAGAGCCCCTCCATCCATATGTAGGAGGCAAAGCAGTAGAGGAAAACAGTCACTGTGGAAGCCTCCATCTGAACATGCATACTTACCACACACAAAGACAGGGCCCGCGCATGCACTCAACTTTTTGGATTGAAAAAGCTCATTCCCACTATGAATAAAAAGATTTCCCGCCGGGCGGTGGTGGCGCACACTTTTAGTCCCAGCACTCGCAAGGCAGAGGCATGTGGGTCTCTGAATTTGAGGCCAGCCTGGTCTACAGAGTGAGTTCCAGGAAAGGCTCCAAAGCTACAGAGAAACCCTGTCTCGAAAAACAAATTCCTAGCCCTTGTAAGAGCCCAGTGTGCTGACTAGTTTGATCTCAGCTTGACACAGCTTGAGTCATTTGGGAAACAGGAACGTCAATTGAAAAAAAAAAATGACCCCCACCTGATTGGCCTGTGGGTCATTTAGGACGTCCCAGCTCCCTGTGGACTGGGCCACCCCCAGGTAGGTGGTCTTGGGGGCTATAAGAAAGCAGGCTGAGCAAGAGGATCACTCCTCCATGGCCTTTGCTTCAGTTCCTGCCCCGGCTTCCCTTGGTGACAGGCTGCTTGCCTGGGAGTGTAAGATGAAATAAACCCTTTCCTCCCCAAGTTGCTTATGGTGTTTCATCCCAATAACACAAACATTTGGGAAGGACAGAGGAATGGTCGGCCACCTTGGTTTGAGGTTTTACCGACAGAAAGGGTGCTCTGATTCTGAAATGGGGTCCCAGAGATGCAGCAGAGTCCTTTAGAGACTCTGGGAAGTCTCTTGGGAGGTCCACAGTTGGACTTCCAACCCCAGTTAGTAAAGGCCCTGGATCCACAGGTGCTCCACGGCAGAAAGAATAGGCTCCATGCGGCATCCTCTTACCTCGTCTCTCTTCTTGGATCCCAGGAAATGGCGTGCGACATGCTCAGGCAGCATGTTGGTGACCAAGGCCTCGTTCCATCGCCGCATCTCGTAGACACGTTCTTTCTGGTCATGGACCTCAATCTTCCACAAGAAGAGTGTCCGCGCCAGTTTCTCCACCTGCAGACACGGGTTAGGTGAGGTGGACTTGAAAGCCAGCCATCCAATGGAAAGACTTAGAACAGGGGTTTGAGTGTTGTACACGGTAAAACAGGAAGAAGATAAATGACCAGAGGAGTCACCTCATCAGAATGGCACCCCACAGCTGCTGTGAGGACCAGGGCCTCTTGGTACAGCAGAGGCCCACGAGGCCTTCCGTATGTTCAGGATTCTCCTGA